CCTCCCAGAGAAATCTGTGAATTGTCACATCTTTGCTAAATAACAAAACAAAGAAACAAAAACTTCATGTTCAGCCTAAACACACATTTAAATATTGAAGAATTATGGTGAAAAAAGTCACAATTTTGGGATCTGATCTGATTTTATTTATTTATTTACTTGAAATTCAAATTCAAAATTCAAAACAATCATATGGTACTACACATACATTCACTGTTCAATACACAATTCTAGTATTCCTCTTCCATCAACTGCATAACATGTTGAGTAATCGAGGAGTTTTTTCGATTTCCAGGTCTCAAACCAACACAACTATTTCTTTCATGGTTTCTTTTTACATTCATGCTATAGTAGCAATGTTTTCTAAATGCTTAGTTGTTACCTATAATGCTTGTTCACAGCTCTCTTACCTCTAAAGCAGAATTCTTACATTCTTATTTTGTTCTTTTTGTTTTATATATGTTTACCAGTGTCTTCCTCAACTCTGCAGTTAAACAAGTTTCCCCAAGAAATGTCAGCAATCTGTTTTTGTGCACTTGCATTTTTGTGAAACTGGTTCTGCTGACGTTTAGAGGCAGCTGGACTGCTCAGCAATCACATATGCAGAGGAAAACTGAGGGACTCTTGTGTAACAGTAGGTGTTTTGTACATGGATTGCAAAGATTTTCTCAACCATATGTAATACAAACATGGAATGACACGAAAACTGTTGGATGAGTGGTTCCAATTTACTTTCAAAGCAATACTCATATACTAGCAGCAGTAACAATTTGCTACATGGCAGACATGCATTTTAAGGTATATAAAGAGGTTCCAACAGTCTGTGTTAAATGATTCACTTGTTAGTTTATTATCTGGGTTTCATCAGCAAGGAAACAATGCCTGTGGACATATTCTTAAAAGACTTTGGAAGATCAATCAACCAATCAAATGTATTTATATAGCACGGTATCACAACAAACAGTTGTCTCAGGGTGCTGCACAAAAGTCCAAGATCTTAAGAAACACAAAATCCAACTTGTTCCACACTGAGCAAGCATGAGCAACAGCGGGGAGGAAAAACTCCCAGGTGGAAGAAACCTCCGGCAGAACCGGGCTCGGTGTGGACGGCCTCTGCCAGGACCGGTTGGGTTGATGGAGAAATAACAAGTATTACAGGGGAACAAAAGGAAATGAAGGGGGGGGTTGAGTCAAGTGTCAGGTCAGGGGCTTGAATGCAGCCCGGGAATCTCCACATGGACTTTTGCATGGTCTTCCAAGGGCACGTTGGTCCCCCCAGGCACTCCTGCCTTCCTGATGGTTCACATGCGCAGTAATAGGACCCATGGCTCCAGATTGTCCTCAGGTGGGAGGTCTGGTGGTTGCGTGACCCTCCATGTCAGCCCTGCGAAAGACCGGTGACCTCACTAGGTCCATCCCTCATCAGGACCCGAGCCAGGACCGGCTCCGGAGAGCCGCACAGTATGGACCAAGGAGGGGAGGAGAAGACCCAAGGAGTTAAGAGATATGTAATAAGGTATAACAAAATAAACCAGGCAGAGACTGAAGAAGAGAGAGGAAGATAGAAGGTGCTGGTGCCTGATGGGTGATCCCCAAGCAGTGTAGGCCTATTGCAGCATAGCTATGGATGACTATGGTTCAGGGTTGAGCTAAAAGCTTTATCAAAAAGGAAGGTTTTAAGTCTAGCCTTAAATGTAGAGACTGTATCTGCCTCCCTCACTGAGAGTGGGAGCTGGTTCCAAAGGAGAGGAGCTTGGTAACTAAAAGTTCTACCACCCATTCTACTCTTAGTAACTCTAGGCACTACAAGGAGTCCAGAGTTTAGGGAGTGAGGTGGTCTGTGGGGGTAGTAAGGGGTTAAGAGCTCTTTAATATATGATGGGGCCTGATTGTTGAGGCATTATAAGTCAGTAGGAGGATTTTGAACTCTATCCTCTGTTTAACAGGGAGCCAGTGAAGTGAAGCTAAGACATGAGTAATGTGATCCCGTCTTCTGTACTCGTCAGTACTCGTGCAGCAGCATTCTGCATCAGCTGAAGGGTTTTTAAGGATCTGCTGGGACACCCTGATAATAGGGAGTTGCAGTAGTCTAGCCTAGATGAAATAAAGACATGAATCAATTTTTCAGAATCCTTTTTTGACAGGATGTGTCTGATTCTCTTTATATTACGCAGATGAAAGAAAGCTATTCTTGAGGTTTGACTAATGTGTTGGGTAAGTGACAGATCTTCATCAATGATAACTCCTAGGTTCTTCAAAGTGGAGTTTGGAACCAGGCGGATATCATCTAGGTTAACCGACTGGTTAGACAGAGTTTCTCGGAGATGCCTAGGACCCAGGATTATGACCTCAGTTTTGTCTGTGTTTAACAATAAGAAATTCTGGGTCATCCAGGCCGTGATGTCTTTAACACAGTTTTGATGTCAAATTAAATGGTTCAGTTTGTCTGGCTTCATAGATAAATATAACTGGGTGTCATCTGCATAGCAGTGAAAAAGAATGTTATGTTTTCTAATAATGCCTAATGGTAACATGTATAAATTAAAGAGTATTGGGCCAAGAACCGAACCTTGTGGGACTCCATGATTAACTTTAGTGTATGATGAGTATTCATCATTAACACTAACGAAGTGGAATCTATTTGATAAATAAGACCTAAAGCAGTTTAAAGCTGTCCCTCCAATCCCAACCTCTTGCTCTAATCTTTGAAAGAGAATGTTATGGTCAAAGGTGTCGAATGCAGCACTGAGATCTAACATGACCAGCATGGAGACAAGACCTTGGTCAGAGGCTAGAGGAATATCATTTGAAACTTTTAAAAGTGCTGACTCTGTACTATGGTGCATTCTAAATCCAGACTGATAGGCCTCCTGCAGGTCATTTCTCTGGAGGTGATCGAGCAGCTGATTTACAACAGCTCTTTCTAAAAGTTTAGAAGTAAATGGGAGGTTTGATATAGGTATGTAATTTGTTAAGATACCTGCATCTAAGCTGGGCTTCTTTAGCAGAGGCTTAATTACTGCTAGTTTAAAAGCCTGTGGTACATAGCCAGTTAATAAAAAGCTATTTATAAGATTCAATACGGTGCTGCCGACTTCTAAAAAAGCCTCTTTAAAGAGCTGAGTAGGGATGGGGTCCAGCAAGCAGGTTGAAGTTTTAGAGGATGAGACTAAAGAAGATAGCTGTGAAAGGGTGATCTGGGAGAACTGATCTAACTGTAAGTCTAGGTTTACACTTTTTTCATCGTTGACAGTTTGTGAGTTTTTCAGGAGTAAAGGTGAATTTTCTCTCTGATAGTTTAAATTTTTATCAGTGAAGAAGTGAATAAAATCATTGCTGCTCAATGACAATGGGATTTTGGTTCAATAGAGCTGTGGATCTTGGTCAGCCTGGCTACAGTGCTGAAGAGAAATGTGGGGTTGTTCTTATTGTCCTCTATTAGGCTAGAGTAATGTGAGGTTCTGGCACGTTGAAGAGCTGTTTTATACACTTCAAGGCAACTCCTCCAGGAAGTAAAATTAACTTCAGAACGGGCGGAGTGCCACTTCCTCTCTAACCTCCGTGTTGCCTGTTTTAGGGTCTGAGTTTCAGAAGTAAACCACGGAGTGAACCTCTGATGATATAACTTCTTTTTCAGAGGAGCAATACTATCAAGGAGAGTTTGAAGTGATGAGGTTGTATTATCCACTAAGTAATCGAGTTCTGCAGGAGCGAGGTTGAAAAGATTATCACGCATTTCATTTATGCATGGCTGCAGAATAGAGGGAATTATCTCCTTGAATTGATCAATTTTGTTATTGGACAGTAACCGACTATGGGATAATTTTTGACTCGCCTGAGTACAGTTGCTACATCAATGGCATGTGTCAGTATAAGGTCTAAGGTGTGGTTTAAGTTATGAGTTGGTTTATCTACGTGCTGACTGAAACCTAATTAATCTATCAGAGAGTTAAACGTACCTCTGAGGCTATCATTTGCTTCATCAACATGAATGTTAAAGTCACCCATGATGATGATTTTATCTGCACTAAGGACTAATTCTGACAGAAATTCTGCAAATTCATTTAGAAACTCTGTATAAGCAGCGGGTGGGCTATAAAGGATGGTTAAATAAACAGGTTTATGTTGTTTGAGGGTTGGGTGGGAAAGACAAAGGGTGAGGCTTTCAAACGATGTAAAATGTTCTGAAACTCGAGGGGTAATTGGAAGGTAAGAGTTATATATTGTTGCTACCCCTCCACCTCTACCTTCGGGGAATATGTGTATTACTGTTAGCTTAATTTAGGATCACAAATTCGTCCTGTTGGAGCCAGGATTCTGTTAGACAGAATAAATCAAATTTGTGATCACTTATCAGGTCATTGATCAGTAGAGATTTGGACCTGAGTGATCTGACGTTTAGTAAGCAACATTTAATTTTACTATGTTTAGATTCTGTGGCATGGGTTGTCTTGATTTTTACTAGGTTACTGTGGAATGCTCCTCTCCTTCCTATCTGTCTAATGGGGACATTATGAGTTTTGGGGGCAGACAAAGTCTTTATCATAGATGTAGGTAACTGATCCAGAAGCGCAGAGAAGTGTGTAGGACTGCAACTCTGCTGCCTGGTCTCGACTCTGAATTGTCAAGCTAAATAGGTTATAATATTTCTAGCCATAAGAGAGGCTCCATCCAAAGTGGGGTGGATGCCATCTCTCCTCATGAGACCAGGCTTTCCCCAGAATTTTGGCCAATTGTCTATATAGCCCACATTATTGTCCGGGCACCACTTTGACGAGCAGCTGTTAAATTGATGCATGCAACTAAACATGTCATCACTACTCATATTTGGCAGGGGGACAGAGAAGATTACAGTGTTGGACATAGTTTTGACGTATGTACACACCGATTTAACATTCATTTTAGTGACCACCGACTGACGCAGGTGGGTGTCGTTACTGCCCACATGGATAATAATCTTATTAAATTTACTGTTAAGTTTAGCCAGCAGTTTAAGATTTGACTCTATGTCTCCAGCTCTGGCCCCGGAGATACACTTAACTATGGTCGCTGGTGACGTAAACTTCACATGTCGTACTACAGAGTCTCCAATGACCAGAGTCATGTCCTCAGCCGATGCGTTGCTGAGAAGGGAAAATTTATTGGAAACACGAATGTGATGGTGTTGAGCCGGGGGCTTTGATTTAGCGCTATGCTTCTTTCCCTTCATTAGTTGGCTAACTTAAGCTGCCCATGCTTGATATTACTTTTAAGAGGCATGGAAAATGGAAAAAGCTCTATTGGATTTTATCACAATTTCTTAAAGCCCCTCCCTACAAAGTGGATACTACATGTCTACTATAGAGAAGAGCCTTAAAGTAATTACAGCGACTACAAACTGTGTGTATATATGACATGTGAGTATATTATTTTGTGATAGAAAAATTCCAAAACTAACCATAAAAAAGTGCTAACTCTACAGTAGGCTCATTAGCACAAACATGCTAGTTACATTATTTAAACCACTGTAAACACCTGTCACTAGTTTATAGAGCGTCTTTGATAAACTGTAGCGCACTTGAAGTCGCCACATAATACATTGTCACAAAATCAAGTCAATTTATAGTAAGATGGTACAGAACTATGAGGCAAGACAAGTCTTTGTTTCTGCAATGACACATAAATACATAATTTTATACATAGTAAAACAGCCCACTAAAATGTCTTTCAGGGCAGTCTGTTCTTTCTGTATGACTGTCAGGTCATTTAAAGATAAATGGACAAACAATAAAGACAAGCCTGAGTTAAGCTGTGGATCTTGCTGAAAACATGCAACTAAAGTAGATGAAGAACAAACACAAATGCTCTTTAGTAAAGAAAGAGCATTGTTGCTGCTGTGGTGCTTTTAGAACCAGACAAAGTAAAAGTGTCCCAAAGAGCTGTAATGATAGTAAAAATACATTTTATTAATGTCACCTTACAAGGCAGAGATAAAAACAAAAAAAGTTTTCACATACACACACTGAAGATGATGATGTCAGTGTTACCAGCTCTTCTGTCTTGGCCCTATTCTGATGGTAATTGAAGTCAATACAGAACTTTAAAAGGTTGTATGGAAACAAATACAGAGTTTGAAGGAAGGATTTGATGTTGGTTGCCACCTTCCAATGAACTACATGAAGAAGAGGGATTTGGTGAGATGAGCATTGAGGACCACTACAGAGCCACTTGAAGCTGTCACTTCAGGACTTGGGGACAACTCTAAAAATCTTTTGGGGTGGATTTTGCACCTGCTAATGGCAGACATGAGTCGAGGGTCGCCTCGGCAAATTTCTATGTAAACCTCAATGTCGAACCAATTACAATGAGTTTGCAAGTGAATAGGGTGAGCTCTGTGTCAGTCAAGACAAGGTGTATGAATGGATAGCGCTATAGAGGCACAGAAACACTGCTAAAGCCAGAGAATCAGGCTCACACAACCCAGACTGACACGTTCTTCACGTGACCCAGAACAAATAGCCTCCATCTTAATTGTCTGGTGAAAACACTTTGTACAGCAGCTGAGACAAAGACACAGCTCAGGACCACAATCAGATTAATGAATGAGAGGGGCTGCCCAAAAACCCAATTTGCATGTCTGTGGAGGAAGCTAGAGTACTCAGAGAAAACCCATGTAAAGGTTTGTGAAACAGTCTGACAAAATGAAATCAAATCCTCATAACCAAGGTTTTCTTTTCAAGCAAACACTGCTATGATATACTATGTTTGTAGTTGGAGCAGCTGTGACTCAGGGGGTAGAGCATGTCATCCTCCAACCAAAGTGTCCATGGGCAAGATACTGAACCCCAAATAGCCCCTGATGGATCTGCCGCTCTCACATAAAGTGCTGCACATATATGCACTGTATGAATATATGTGTTAATAGGTGAATGGCAAAAAAACTGTACGGTAAAGCACTTTTAGTGGTCATCACCAAATCCCCACTCTTTCTGACACTTCATTGATGATGCTTTTTAGTCATTTCAGGTTTCTTACAGCATCA